TTCGGCGCCTGACTCCGGGGCGGTGGCGGTGGCGGCCACCGCGCTCCCTTCCCGGCGCGGGGGACCCGGCTCTTGAGCCCCTATCGCAGCCCGGAGAGCCCTGACGCACACGCACACGACAGCAGGCTGGCCTCAGCTAGGAATCCCAGGAAGGATAGACCCCCTTTCCCCCCTTTTTCTCTCTCTCCCCCCCAATTTCCACGTCTTTATAACCGGCTTAGGGCATTATTAGCACATGTCCTGGCTCGTGGGCGAGTTGGTGGCAAAATCTGAACTGGATACTCACCGAGGTCCAGAGCCGGTGGCTGTGCCTTCCTTGGCCCTCTCCTTCCTCTCGGCGAACTACCTCTCGCCTGCGGGCTGCGGGTGAGCAGCCGGGCCGAGCGAGCCTCCTTTCAACGGTTCGGCGGAGCCTCTTCTTCTGCAGCTGTGCCTTCGGGAACATTTTATAGCAACGGCTGGAGTGTGTGGCCCTTTAAAGGCGCTCGAGCTGGTGCAGTCACCGCGGATCGTGTGAAAGCGAAGGGCCGGCTGGGGAACGGAGTCCGAGCGGCCTCGCGGGTCCTGTAGCGCTGGGGACCGGTCGCGGTTCCCTGGGAGGAGCTGAAGGGCCCAGGCCGTGGGCTCCCTGAGCCTTGAGCCTCGGCGCAAGCCTGTGCTTCTAAAGTTGGTGGGGGCTCGGAATCGGGACGGTGTCATTCCCCACCACCCTGCATGGATCTGCCCAATAAATTCCACTTAGTAATTTCTCCGAGGCAAGGGAGAGCCGTTAGTTGTCTGTTTTCTGACTTCCATCTAGCGGGTGCCTAGAGGGGGATCGGTGTTTTGGGAGGGGGCAGAGTTCCGGGCTCAGCGAATGACCTGGAGGAGGGGGGGGCACACGGGAAGGGGTCCGCGGGGTATGCTTTGGGGTTTTATGTAGGGCTTTCTTGGAGCTTATCTGCCCACGTTGGGCTGCACCATCTCCGTTGCTGAAGGGCCGGGAAAGGGTTCCTTGTCTTCTCAAAGTCTCCAGATTCTGGCCAGGGCCTACCCGTCTGCGGGGGCTTCCCTAGAAGTTGGGTTTAGGATGGAAGCATTCTCTCTTGTGGAAATACAGGGCAGAAGGAGGCTGGCAGGACACGACGTGGACAAGTGCCCGCCGGGCACCCAGGGCCAGATGCAGTTCACCACCAGCGACACTGAAAAGCCAAGAACAGGCAGGGGATACGATGAGCATGTCCCGGGGCTCCTGGGAATTCCTTCTTGCCTTGCCACAATTCCAGGTTATTTTATTATGATTATATAATTATTCCCATTAAGCAAGAATAACATTTTTCACTTGAAGGACACCCTTCTCCTGTTGGGATGTTATCTTTCAAATCTTTACGGAAAGGAGTCCAGGTTTTCTCCATCTCAGTTAGTATTCCATGTGGCCAACTAGCTCCTGTTTCACTTCTTACAGGAAGTCCACCAGGATGATCCTTTTACCAGACTCCTTTTTAGGCCTTCCTTCAGCGTTTAAGTACTCACTTTACACTTTGTGAAACATGTTTTTTGTTTTAAACAAGAAATAACTACGGATGTTAAGGAAATGTGTGTATGTTAGGGAGGTGTCAAGAAGTCATTTTCACGAGTATGTGTTCTGTCTTCTTAATTGGTTTTGAAGACCTAAAGGTCTCTCTTTTTTCTTTCTTCTTCTTCTTCTTTTTTTTTTTTTAGTATCCCCCAAGTGCCCTGCATTTGCTCTTGGAACAAAGTTCTGTTTGTTGTGGGACTGACCAGCTTACTGACCTAAAGATGGGGAACAAACAGAGGGACAGATCAAGGTCCTTCCTGGGCATCTGGAGAAAGCCAGGATGAGTGTTCTGGTCGCTAGTTAAACCTGCTCCCCGCCCCCAAAGCTGCCCTGCGAATCTCTTGGCCTTGCCCGGACCCTGTCCCTTCGCAAACCCCAAAACCCAGCACATCCCCCAACACCACCAGTGCACTTTCTAATCGTGGGTTGCGCCCCGTTTCTCTCAGATAAAAGGCGGGATCCCTGGGGACCTCAAAGCCCTATAGGGTTTGTGAAATACCCCCTTAAGCCCACTTGGTGTTTACTTGAGGTGAACGACCCTAGTCTTTTGAATTGTTTGTTGCTCACTTGGACCTCGGACCTACCCTCCCTCTCATCCTCCGAAGCCGCTTCAGAAACAGTGGCCGCGTCTCCGCTGCTGGCTCCGGATCCGGGAGGAGCTTGATCCGCCCTCCATCTATTGGATGGCTCCCAGGCCAATTGTTAGAAAGAGGCATATGTTCATCTCGGCTTCTGGAGTGTCTCCGGAGCAGTTGCTCAACAGCCTGCCCCCTCCCCCATCCGGACCATTGAAGGGCAGAAAAAGGAGCGCCCTCCGCCACATTTCTCTGCGCCCACATGCCAGAAAGGGTCTCCCCACGGGTGACTTCCTGTCACTTCCTCTGTCCACCACCTGGGGGGCAGGAAAGAGAGGGGCTTCAAGCATCTGTTTGGGAGCACAAAAGACACCCCTTTCATTTTGGGGGAGACGGGAGAGGCTAGTCTCAGAGGCTGGGAGAGAGCAAAAGAGACATTTGCATTTCTCTGCTAATGTGTCCTGGATCACCGACTTCCCAGTTGACTCCTGCCGAGACCTGGGCTCTCCCCTGAACTCTGTATCTCTAACTTGGCAACTAGATC